TCTTTCTTCTTGTCCTTTGCAACTCCGCAACTTCCCGCAGTATTCGCATAACACGGACTCTTTTTTATGGCAGTGTTGGAACTCACCTGCAAGATCTAGACGACTCGATAAACTTACATGAGTTCACCACTTGCACCCGTTTTACCGTTCTGGGCAGCGGCAAGGAAAATTTGATTTGTCAAGTCGCTTTGTCTCCATCCCCATCCTTGGTCTGCAAGGCACAGTGGCGACTCGATTTCGCGCACAAACCCCCACCTACTCGAACCAACCAATTAAGTAGAGTCCAGACTCAAGAAAGGAAACGCATCGAAGCACGCCCTGAAAGGGTACCCGGGTATCCTGTGGGCGCCCTATTCGGGGCACCCACCACAGACTGCACTGAAGATTTGATCCTCCTCGATTGAACCCCCAAGATATCCAACAATGGTGAAATCCGATCAAGGCTGCTGCCAAGCAACCTTCTCCGCCATGGTGTATTGGAAGAATCTTGATGCTAAGAACGGCTGCCAGCTTAGGTGTTTCAAGAGAGTTTCTTGCCCCAAGCATCCCCAAACTAACTCCCTGGTCAAGGATTCATGTGTGGATTAATCTGGCTGAGCGTGAGTCGTCAAGGAAGCACAGGCACGCCAAGATTGTTTCACAAAAGACGGGTGAAATTCATTGTCTGAGATACCTGCCATCCAACCTATGGAGGATGTTGGAGGAGCCTGGCTGTGTGCTCGCAACAAGAGTGGGCACAAAGCTTTCAGGATCGTCCAGGACATGCACCCCAAACCTGCTCCCCTAACATGAAGCTTGTGATGGGCAATTCTCCAGGCAAGATGGTGTCTTGGCGCACTTCCATGTTCCCACAGTACAATCTAATGGTTCCAGCGTCGACACCAAACAGGAAAAAAGAAGCCGCGGAAGAAAATCAACCTTGAAACGATGGCCTCCAACCTACGTGCGATGGCCTCCACCTAATAGCGTCCCTGTTACAGCTTGAAAACGCTCCAAACAGTTGTGAAGCCATGTCCAAGGCTTTTTGAAGCCCGTGACGCCGTGACGCCGCACATGAGGAGACCGCAACCCAAACTCCTTCAAAAGGAGCAAATTAAGAACCCCTCACCAACAAACCTGCTTGGGAGAAAAACATTTGCACCTACTCCCGGGCTCAACACCAGTGCTAAACATTCAAAAACATGGTGCCCGGACAATGGAGCCAGGTGCGCCGTCAAACTCTCGCAGCCATTGCAGGCCGCAGCTCTGAAAGCGACAGACCTGGTCATAGACCACCCTGCACCCCTGTTCGATTCATGAAGTGAGCAAAATGTCAAAACATGATTTTAAAAGGATGCCCGTCAGGTTAAATACCTCAGGCATCTCCACATGAAGCTTTGCTTGGCAACCGAGCTACTGATTGCCCGCAAGGCCCAGAAGAATCAACAATGGCAGTGCCAAGAGATGGGTCCAGGCCTGTGCAAAACGGAGTTCACATCAGGACGGATGTTCACAGGAATCGGAACTTGAAGTAGCAGAGATTGTAAGGGGATTGAAGTAGCAGATGTAATCAAATAGGAACAGATCGAATAGTTCCAGTAGGTCTGATCAATCTGCAGGGAGATAACAGAGACAAGGTGGGACTAAACACGTGCCCCAAACGAGCCTAAGTCTAAGTCTAGAAAACAAGTTGGGCAGGCGTAGCAGCGCGAGCTGGCATGACCAGATCAAAAACCATGACAAGCCCGTGTGGGTGCTCCTGAGCTCACTACCATAATTTGCATAGCAGAGAGGCCGCTTCCAACGATGAGGCGCCGCCTCGTCACCATCCACACAAATCCACGAGGGCCATTGGAGACTCCAATGACTTCGGCTATCTCATCTCTTTTCTTCTCCTAGTAGCAAGAAGCTCCTAGGTTGGAGGCCTTGACTATTAGTAAATTATTAGTAGCTAGAAGCACCTCAGGACCACCATCGAAGAGGACGAGAGAGAGTTGACCTGTGAGCCACAATCCCGGCAGCTAGCTATTGCAACTAGGCCAGTTCACAAACTTCAGCACTGAGGCTTTCGCAAGAAGAGCAAGATGGCCCCAGCCTTCGGATTGATCACAAACTGGGACATCACATTCTTTCCAATGATGGGAGGCCATCGCTAGTAGGAGTGGAGGCCATCGCTAGTAGGGTGGAGGCCATTGCTCTTAAATACTCCAACAAGCCCACCACTGGGTGCCAAGCCGGAACTCTGCATCTCCATGTAGTTCTCCCACATGCCAGGGTCTAAGAATACCTCAACGGTGTTCAAGACACCGTCCGATTCAAACGTGATGTGGTGGATGTGCTAAGAAGCCTGCAATGATACAAGCCCCTGCCATTCCCAAGGCCTTAAGTTGGAGTCATATTGCTACCAATCTGTGTGCTATCGCAAGAATGCAGTAGCTTCACGACTCGGCTAGGCTAAGCTTCCAGGCTACGCCCAGCATCTTCTGGAAGCTTGCGCTCTCTAAGCCTCACTGCACTTCACATGGCTTGAATACTTATTCAGACCGAATGAAGCGAAGCAAATCGCCAATCTGCCTCCCCCCATATGCCATCCTGCTTTCCAGAAAGGTTTCTAAGTTTCTATTCATGTCACACGGTAGTCAGCCAGTGACATTCCAGTAGCTGTTATCGTTCACCCAGAATGCCATCTGACAGTCTCTCATTCTTACTGAAAAGCAAGTGGCCAAGAATCAGAGAGAAGAACCTCACTCCGAACCAGCAATGACGCGGGCTGCTGATAAAGTCAAATCTTCCAACCACGGGCATTTAGAAGACTGTAGTGCAAAAATGTGAAACGAATGAAAGAATGATCTGATCGATCGGCGGTTCTTTTCCTGCCTCTGAATCTCTCATTGCCATTCAAGCGCTTCTAGTATTAGGGGAGTGGGGTCCAGGTATGGTCCCTTCCGTTACCTTTTGCACGTTGCTACTTTCCCATCGATTTGGCTTCACCTGGCCCAACACCCAACAGGTCGAACATGGGAGCGGAGACGTCCAACAAACCACGAATCAAACAGCGCCAGAAATGCCGAGCTGGAGAAACCATTCGGCGATGCGAACCGATTTGACGACTCTGGATTTGGGGTGTGCCTGCCGCTCAGCCGCCAAGCGTGCTAAGGTCCAAAGTGTGGAAACATAATGAAACACACCTGAGAGACTGATAGAACTCCGCGGAACACAAACCTCCCGATGGAGTGTGAACTTACCGTCGGCAGGCACACCGCATGCAACTGGGTGTTGCATTGAGGGCAGTCCTCTTTAAGAACTCCATCGCAAAACCGGCATGGACTCGGACCCATCAGAAGACCTGCTTCATCATGCCTGACATCTCTACAAGCTGGTTGGATAAAGCCTGTTGCTGCGCCATGCTGCACCATGCTGCACTCAGCTACAAACAAGACTGCCCATGACTCCGCAAGAACCATGAGGAACCTCGGATAATCTCCTCATTCTTCTCAGCCTCACCGCTCTCCTGGTCGAAAACGTCCTTCCTGAGCGAAGGAAGAAGGGCTTCCGTTTCACAACAGCTCCGCGAGTGGCTCCGTGCTCTTCTCTCCACTTTGTTTGGATCAAAGGATGGCGCTTCAGCTTGAAGTAGACGTCATAAACTTTCTCCTCCTCATGTTCAAGGTGTTCGAGTTCGGTCTTGGCACCAAGAAGCTTGGTAGCCTAAACAGTGGGTACCGTTCCATGGTAAGCTACTTCTGCATGAACAGAGCTCATGCACGGTCGAGATGAAGTGCGGGGCGCCAACGAAACTGGAACAAACCCTCCCACCTGCGACACTTCCCAGAGTGCCTTGTTAGTAGTAGCGATGCCCTTGTTACTAGTAGCTTCTAGTTACTAGTAGTAATGGCCTCCAACCTACTATCGATGGCCTCCAACCTAATAGCAATGGACTCCAACCGAGTAGCTTCGAGCTACTAGTAGTAATGCCCTTGTTGCTACATGTAGGATGCAGGAGTTGCAAGAAATGATTAAGGAGTCCTCTCATGGCCGGAAACTCATGATTCACTTGAGCGGGGAAACACGAAAGGTAGAGACGGACCGAGTAGCTGTCGGGACCTTTTCTGGTGAGGGACTGTCTCCGGTGTTTCAGGAACGTGCCCCTTGGTCAATCATGGATGAAACCAACAAAGCCAGAGAGCACAAGAAGGCATAAGAAGGCTCAAGAGGAACTCCGTTGCGGTCAGATTGCGCCACACGGCTCTGCAGAGAGGCTGCGTTGGGTCGACGCTCGTTTGTGTCTAGGTGTGTGAAAACAGGCGCGCGTAAAAGTCGCAATGCGTAAACGCTCGCATGTGTACCAGCTATGGTCCCACAGCTGCACGCACTGTGTCAGGATTACAGGCCTGCACGCGTTGCATCGAAGCCACAGTGACTCAGTGACCAACCCCCTTGTAAGGATAGTGCTGGAGGGGTGCGGCCGGTACTGCCAGGGATGGACGTCACGCTATGGTGGGTGTGCTCCACGATGCGGTAAGATTTCGCCACGCTAGGGTATAAGGCTGAGTCGAATGGTGTTCCGCGACGCGAGGGGTTTCTCCACAGGGCTTTGCAAAGAGGCTGCGTTGCATCGATGCTCGTTGGTGTCGAGCAATATGGTCTGTGAACGCAGTACGCGCTGTGTCAGGCTGCCGGGTGCGCACGCGCGGCATCGAAGCTGCATTGCGCGACCTCATTGCGCAGGGTTCGTGCTGTATTGCGCAACCTCATGGCCAGCGTCGTACTGCTGTGACTGTTAAGCGCATGACTTCACCTTATGTCCAGAATTTAGTAGTGCTGGCGACGAGGGGAGGGGACGGGGAGGGGGGAGGGGGAGGGGGGGGGTCGAATCAATTGATTTATCAATCATTCATCACATGGGAGGGGGGGGGGGGGGGGGGGGGGTGGGGGTGTTAGACATTGATCTACCAATCTTTAGTCCCGAGCAAGCTCTCAAGCCAGCCCCTTTGCTTCGCAAAGCAAACTCAAGGTAGTCCTTACCAGGCTACCTTTCGTGACAACGAACCACTTTCTCTGGCGGCAAGTCCGTGCTCCTCCGGCTTTGCGTCATCGGTCACGACAAAGAAGGGCGCACGAGTCACCTGGCTGACCATTGAGCCATGTCAGGTGTCGTAGTTGAGACCTTCACTTACTTACTATATCACTGCGTTGGACCAAGGTCGACATCGCCACGAACTTGCCATTCGCCACCAGACTCAAGCACTTCACAACAGCATGAAACAAGCGGGTCGCCTCATGCTTTCTTGCAAGCACCACACCCTCCGAAGAATGGTCACGCTCATCTGCCAGGATCACACGATCGATGCGATCAGTGAGGTTGTCCTTCTGAATCCTGAGATGACGTGTTATGCCAATTGAAGTCCCACAAAAGACCGCTGCCGCCTTGCAAGCCCGACCTTACTAGCACATAGCAATCTCCAACTTTCTTGACAAGTCTCTGCTTCCAAACGAAGTCGCACTTCTGGCAGGTGCTCCTTCCAAGAGTTCTACGACATGTCTTCCAGGATTCTCTAGGTCACCGGCCTACACCATCCTACACGTACAGGACCTACATATGTCTTCCAGGCTCGTTTGCACCGGAGGCGCCGCTCCCATCGGCATAGATCTTCTTCACAAAGGCCACCTCGAGGCACGTCGAAGGCTCGCGAAACAGTTCGACCTAACCGGTACCTAACCTGTTTGTGAGCAAGAAGGCCCCTGAAGCCTTTGGACATCCCGTTTCTCAGAAGGAATCTCTCAGGGTCCTTGTCTGGGTCTTGAATCATTTCGCATCTGCACCCCTGCCTTGGTTGCAAAGGCGCGCTCTGCTCCCAGGAAATGCCTGACCAAAACCGCCAACTGCTGGACCCCCTGAAAAGCATGGACGGAGCACCCGGAACGAGCCTGGGGGCAGCGCGGAGCACCCGGAGCGAGGTGAAGGACATCATGTTTGGTCCGTCTGGCTGTGGAACGGCCCTCTTCCGTGGCACGCAGATCCACAAGAGTGAGATATCAATATACAGTGTGTAGAACATAACACCACAACTACCAACACATGTTTTCTCACAACATGTTGAGATAACAAGATGTCCAATCCACCAAAACATCCTTTAAGCAACCTTTGTCCATTTGGCTGAGCATCTAGCGTGGTGAATACCAGCTGCAGCGGCCTTGCAAAGTTCCAACACGAGGAAGAAAGAAACTCCGGGACCACGGACACAACTCTACCAGCAGCCCCGCTCTTTCCACTCCATACGACAAGTGAGTGGTACATAGTAGTCTTGTGACACCTGAGGCGCCATGTGGCTAGATCCAGGTGCCCCGGCTGCCATGCGGTCGCTGTCACCTGCCACCGTCAGAAAAAAGCAACTAACTAGTAGCTTCTTGTTACTACTAGTAAGGCACTTTGCACTTGTTCCTAGTGGCGTCCTTGTTACTAACAAAGGGGCGTGGGCCAAGCTGCTGTGCCTCCCAGGCAGCCCAAGGCTGTTGTTCTCTCCGTTTTTGCATCCAGCTGTCGCTGTCTTGTCAAAGAGTCTTGTCGCTGTCTTTCTCCTCTTTTGAGGAGCTTTCGCACCAAAAAAGGACTCCCCAAGCTTTGCATCAGCCTAGCAGCTTGGATTCCTCCGGGTCTTCTAGGCAGTCATGAATGGTTTCAGACCGCCCAGAAGGGCAGGCAAGCTGTGGGAGTCACCTTGGGCAACGGAATGCCAAGTAGGAAAGATGCAAACAAACCGAACACTCGCATTTGGTGTTGAAGTTCTGCACAACCCAAATGCGCGCCTTAGAAGAGGAAGCTAACCAATTGAGAGTGTGCGAATGGTGCGTCTAGCCAAGATACGCATCGAAGGCCTTTTCTCCCTTCGCGCCGTGCTGTGCCACTTTTGCCCACCTTTCGCGCTGGAAGTCCAGGGAATGATCCGGAGCTCAAGCGCACCTTGATCGGCATATGTGGACCCAATAGCAAGGGCCTCCAACCTAATGGCGATGGCCTCCAACCGTTGAAGATATATATAGTATTTTGTGACTTGTGTTTTAACATGTGTTCATCTTTCCAGTGCAACTACCCTGCTACCAAGCGTCTGGTCTTGGAAAAGGAATCAGAATCTATCGGCTCTGGAGGTTGTGGAGGCTCCTTGCAGTGGGTCGAAGAGGACATTTGCATGGAATTCTGGAACTCTACAGCAACTGTGGCCTGTAGTTCTGGAGTTGGCGGCGGCCGCCTAATGCGGGCCTTGCCTGAAAAGAGTGGACAATACAATGCGTCGTTCTACAAGTCTCCCAGCCTATCTCAATGTACTTCTGCATGAGCAGGCCATTCTCCTCCGACATGATCTCGTCCTGGGCTAGTTATGGCTAGTTGCGAGAACAAAACCACACTAAGATTTTGGGGCCAAAGCAGGCAGCACGTTGACCCACATCGTGCCGCCATCGCGCCGCTCCTGCTGGATCCACACAAAAGAAGGAAACCCGTGTGCTTCGTCGGGGTCCTCGAAGCGCACGCATACTCGGCTGGGATCACTGCTACGAGAGGGCCCCAGCACCACCGCCTGAGCTGCGGAAAGTTGTTCCCTCTCTTGGCATGTAGTGAGGTTATCCCGTACCTTGTCCATGAAGGCCGCCAAGATATTATCACCTGCAGCACTGTCAAAGAGAACTTAAAAAACTCAAACTTTCCGACGTAGGCCAACTTCCACCACAACAAACGTTCTAGGCCCTCTAGGCAAGGCATTTTCAGAACCAAGCAACCTTCCAAGTACAGGTCACTCCGGGCCATGACCCGCTGTCCCTCGTAAAAACCCCCAGAGATCGGAGGTGGCTGACATACGCTCCTGGCGACGACCGCGGAAATTCGACGCGGCGAGATCGTTCAGAGACTCGCTCGCTCTCGCTCTCGCTCTCGCCTCCTTCGTTGAGACATTCTCGCCGCCAGGCCGCCGTCTCCACGCTGCTCGGCCATCTTCTCAGCACGTTCCTGGTCACAAAATCTGGGTGTCGAACTGTCGTAACCTTTCATTGTTTCGATGGTCAGTCAGAAAAACAACTGGTTTGGGTTGGTTTTGGTACATCCACCGACGCCTTCTCCATTTTGTCAAGCCTCTCCTCGGAAAGGTTAACCAGTGGCCAGTCAATCCAGCAATGTCGACTGTCGTCCCCCACGCCCGATGAAACATGTTTGTAAAGGTAGCTTGGTCAAGAGACTAAGCACTCCATCTTCAAGGAGTCCGGCAGCCAACTTCGCAGCACGATACGTTCCCTCAGGGAACCTGCCAGCTTCGGCCCCCGCCGCTTCGGCTTCTTCTTGCCCTCAAGGAGGACAAGCAGTCACGACTGCGGCAAGCGGCAAACCAAATATCTATGTCTATACCTTGCAATAGTACACATAGCATTGCGCATCAATGCAGCCACCTGATGGCTCCCTATCGTTTATTCAATAATTTATCATGCGTTGCCATTCTTTCGGCCAAAGGTCCGATGGAACTCCAGAGGCACCTTTTGGATCCAGCAGCTGTGTCCGGGTCCGGCCATCGTCCATGATGGGCTGCTGCAAGCGGGGCACTGTGACCCGTGCCTTGGCATTGGCTAGGCTAAGGATGGGTTGGCAAGAGATTAACTAAAAGTGATGATCGGGGTCAACAATGGTGTCTCCCAATTTCCTGGATCGTCAGTGACCAGTGCAAAGGCCAAAGGACTGCGGCTTCGTCACAGCCCACATGACATAGCGGCATAGCACTATGTAGATGATGTCGGATTTGGTCTTGCGCTAATACACAAAGACAACACACATCAAACCATCAAACCAAACACTTTCTGAAGATCTGCCTGAGACACACCGGGGTGGTAAGATGGGGTCACTCGCTCCAAGGCTCGTGCATACAGATATTGTGTCTTTGCCGCACCGCGCATCTCGCCCATGGCTAAAAACGTCTCTCACCTTCTTCGAAGGCCATGAAAAAGACCCTGGACGCGCTGGCTGCCCACATTGAAACTGAGATGGCCACGCACCAGGGCCAGAACAATGTTTAGCAAAAGAGTCTCAACATTCAGTCCAACTCGCAAAGATTGCTTCGAAGTCTGATGTTGACAAAGAGTTGTGCATAACCCTTTGGGCCTGGCCGCTTAGAACCACACCCAGCGTCATTCCCAAGTTGGCACCGACCAGGCACGCCTCAAAGTTGGCTTCGGCCCGTCCAAAAGGAAAAGTTGGTTTCACCCTCAAAGTCGGTGCCAAGGCCTGGACCGCACAGAGAAGGAGGACTCGGCTCGGCTGAGGAATGGCCGAGCTCCAGCCCTGAATGTGGAGGCCATCCCTCTTGGGTTGGAGGCCATCCCTCTTAGGTTGGAGACCATCGCTCTTAGGTTGGAGGCCATCGCAATTAGGTTAGAGGGCAGCGCTATTAGG